CTCGACTTGGTTGATACGACACTAACGTGTCTTGGAGATAAGAAGGAGCCAAGCCATTTATGGCTTTATATGTTAAGAGTAGGATTTTAAACTTTATTCCGTACTCCACAGGGAGCCAGTGGAGTGATTTTAACACCGGAGTTATGTGCTCCCTCCTTTTGGTACCTGTTAAGATCCTAGCTGCTGTATTCTGAACGAGCTGGAAGCTCTTCAAAGAGGCTTTAGGGCACGCTGCCAGTAAAGCGTTACAGTAGTCGAGCCTTGAGGTGACAAACGCGTGAATGAGTTTTTCCGCGTCACTTTTAGGAAGGAAATTCCTAATTTTAGCGATGTTCCGTAAGTGGAAGTACGCCGTTTTAGTTGCTTGGCTTATATAAGCCTTGAAGGAGAGTTCTTGGTCAAAAATGACTCCAAGATTCCTCACAGTGTTACTGGGTATTATACTGACATTATCGAGAGTAACCATCTGGTTAGTGAGGGAGTCACGCAGGCGCTTCGGACCGAGTAGGATCACTTCTGTCTTCTCCGGGTTGAGAAGTAGGAAGTTAAGATTAAAGGGTAGAAAATGGATGGATGGATGGACATATTTAAAAAAAAGAAGCCCGAGCCCGGCACGAACCCGACAGCTGAGCGCTGAAATGAGGCCCAAGCCCGGCCCGAACTCAGGTCGGGCCTCGGGCCTGCTCGGGCTCGGGTTGAACAGCGAAACTCTACCCTATGGCTGCTTCTGTCTATTCCTTGGTCCTATACTGCTCGAGTTGCCATATGACGAGTTTAAACCCTGGATCCTCCTCTGAGGGCAGTGATAGATGTGTTAAGTGTAGTATTGTAGTAGCTTTGGAATCCAGGGTTAGTGAGTGAGCAGAGTCTCGAGCTAGCGCTAGCATTAGCTATAGCCTAGCAGTATCCTCGGACATGCAGCCCTCCTCCTCTACACACTGCTACACAGGCTGCTGTTGCTACAGGTATGTCCCATTCAGATTGTACAGAGCAGTCAGCACCATTGACTTCACAGTGTCCGAGTCATTCTTTTAAGACATAAGCATTTTCAACAACCACTCGTGCTGTGCTGAATTTTCGATTGAACACTTGCTGTTCGTCTGATATTATAATAAATCCAAGCACCGCACCAGTACTAGTTACGCGTTACACGTAAATGACGTGGTCTGACAACGCTGAGGACATACTGGGGCTACTATTTTTGATGGAAAAGCACGCAAACCGGGCAACATCTAGCTTACTGAAAAAAATTCATCTTATTATTCTTCTTTCAGATGAAAATAACACTTGATGTTTAGCATTCAATAAAATAAAACATAAAACCAATGTAATCTTGAGGGCTTTAAAGTGATTCTCACCCCCGCTCCTCGGAGCTTACGTCACTCACATTTCCAGTTCAAATCTTCCTCTAAATGGGCGTAGCCTGGAGGACTAAAGGGGGCGTGAACGAGACTGGGCCGTTTACATTGCTCTGGGCGGGGGCTGCTGACGTCAGGTCCAACTTGCAGACGTCAGGTCTTGCTGCCGCGCCAGTGTTGGCGCTGTCGTCAAAAAAGATTTGACTGACGTGTTCAGAATTTGATACAGAAATAAGGCCAAGAATGCAAGAGTTAAAAATAGAACATTTAATTCTCTTTACAATTAAATATCGATACAAAACCCTTGGAGCCATTAATTCTCTAAAACTAACCCTATGCTGAGCCATCCTAAAAACTTTCCCTCCAGGCCTGAAAATGTGCAGAGAACATGCAGGCGCTCTGCCATGTTCTCTGTCTCTATCCCTGCTCTGACTGACTCCAAGCCTCCAGCCTAAGCATAAAAAGAGCAGATGTCCAGGAAGAAGGGGGTGTGTAGTATCAGGCAGCTTCCGGTCCAGGGTCCGGCCTTTCCTCCGTCTCGCCAGACCTAAACAGAAATCATTCATGCACTACCCCTCCCTAATTCTATAGAAATATTACTTCCTTGAGATAAGACAGGAGGCTTTTCAAGGTCCACCTCCTTCTTCAAACAACGAAAGGATTAGCAGATTAACTATCATTAACTCATATTTCTGCACTTTTGGACTACCAAGGAACAAGGGGAGACCAGGTCTTTTTGCTTGGGAAAGAGACAGAGTTCAATTCCGGGTCAATCAAATTCACATCTGCCTTTAGTCTATATTTAATACAACAGCGCCAGATTCAAAATTCAAATGTAGTAATACAGGTCGCCAGCAGATGGCGCCTCACTGACGGTTTTAGGCGGAAAGTTTAACTTTCAACTAATTTGCACCAAAGTGACAAAATTATGACCAGGATATGTAGACAACACTATAGCGAACTATCTAAATGACGTCAGTAAAGGCGCGTTCAGACCAAAAGCTTCAAAAAGCTTTTGACGCGCGTCAGCTGACGCCGGGTTATTTTTGTCATTTTGGTGCTTGAAGCTTTTGACGCGAGTGACGCGCCTGACGCTGGTGGGAGGAGCTTCTCTGTTGCCGGTGTAGTCCAGAGAAGATGGCGGATTTCCGAAGAGCAGCTTGCCTTTATTTGTTGGTAAAATCCATCGTCGTACGTCGTCGTAGGGCTTCTACACAACGTGTATGGGTTCACAGCATACTTCAGAGGCGTGCAGTGTTTGGTGAGTTTCACCATTTACTCCAGGAGCTGCGTATGGACGAGGCTCGCTTTCAGCGGTACTTCCGAATGTCAGTAGCCCAGTTTGATGACCTGCTCACCCGCATCGGAGCTCGCATCGCCCGCATGGACACCAACTACAGGCGCTCGATTCCAGCGGAAGAGCGCCTGTCTATCTGTCTGGTGATTAAATAGATATTTAAATTTCTATTTGTCGGACTTTTTCCCTCCAGCGCGGAGCTCCAATGCTAACCGGCTAACCACGGGTGTTGAGCGGCGCTGAACACCCGTGAACCCAAGGAGGCTTTTGTTACAGACTTTCTCTGTTATAACGATTGTATTTAGAGTAATCATTAATACAATTGATATATTTGCTATGGCCCTCGTTTGTGCATTTGAAGTCATTTTGAAGGTGCATTGTGTCACTGTAGTGAAGTTATTAGAAAACTGATCAATTAAATCAGCATTGTCTGCTACTTAGTACTTAATATATTCAGATTCCCAAGTGATTAACCCCCCTGTGATTTCACAAGAGAGGGTACATTTCCATTGTTGGTGCAATTCCTGAAAACAAATTTACACAATCATATTGTATGATTAATTTAAAATATTTTTGTATATTGCTGAGTCGTATTTGTATCATTGTAGGTTTCTTGCTACTGGGGACTCCTTCAGGACCATAGCAAGCAGCTTCAGGGTGGGCATCTCCACCATCTCCAGCATCATCCCAGATGTGGTGGCAGCCATCTGGGACGGCCTGGTGGAGGAGTTCATGCCTGTGCCTGGAGAAGAGGAGTGGAGGTTGTCTGCTATGGAGTTTGAGGAGCGGTGGAACTTCCCTCTTTGTTGTGGTGCTATAGATGGGAAGCACATCAACCTCAAGGCACCCCCCAACTCAGGCTCCCTGTACTTCAACTACAAGGGTAGGCACTCCTTGGTCCTCCTTGCTATTGTAGATGCCAACTACAAGTTCAGGGTGATTGACGTAGGGGGCTATGGCAGAACCAGCGATGGAGGGATCCTGGCCAACTCCACCTTCGGTCAGGCTCTGCATGCGGGAACACTTCCTCTGCCAGCTGACCGGCATCTCCCTGGAGCAGAGCACCGAGGCCCCCTGCCCCATGTCTTTGTGGCAGATGAGGCCTTCCCACTGCGGAGGAACTTAATGCGGCCTTTTCCAGGAAGTGGCGGCGCTAACCCTGGACAGCGCATTTTTAATTACCGCCTCTCCCGAGCCCGGCTGGTGGTGGAGGATGCGTTTGGCATTTGGTCATCGCAGTGGAGGATGTTTCGTCGGGACCTCGAGATCCGGCCAGAAGTTGTGGAGAAGTGCGTGAAGGCCACATGTGTTCTCCACAATTTCCTGAGGGTGTCTGCTCCGGTCCCAGTCCTGAGAGGAGCTGCAGCGCAGGGAGATGACTGTCTTCCAGGTGTCGGGAGGATGGGTGCCAACAACGCCACCAGAGAGGCACTGCAGGCGAGGGAGGCGTTCATGGCCCACTTCTGTGAGGAGGGGGCAGTAGCATGGCAGCCGACAGAGTAGTCAGATCCTCACGGGACTGACCCAAAACGGTTCTTTTAAGAGCCACCCATGAAAACTAAAGAGCATTTCTTCTTTAATAATATTTGAGTGTCTGTATTTGCCAATGCATTACTTTTGAATATCAGGACACAAATACTACAACATCCTGATCATGAATTCTAGTCTTGGATAAAGACCATGTCTATGTTTATCCAGTATGTTTTTGAACCATTCACCTGTGCCCTTCTTGTTTGCAGGTAATAGTTCCAGATTCTGCAGCTGTCTCCGACTTCACAACATGTTCAAGCATGGCCTCAATTACAAGTTTGTCCAAACAGGATATGCTGAAATTAATTATGTCAACTAATTTCTATTGTCTCATATTTGGTGATAACGTGTTTACGAGTAAAGTTCTCCTTAATTGAAGTATTTGAAATTAGTGATATTTAACTTATTTGAACACATACCTTAATGAAAAACCTGTACATATTTAAAGTAGCAGACCAAATCTTAAGTTATAAATTTTTTAATGAAATATGTAAAAACAAATATATACACAAAAAAGAACAGGAACAGGAATAAAAAGGACCTTGCTTGGAGGAGGAGGAGGAGTGCAGGAAGGAGAAGAGTCTGTTTCCTCCCCTGCAAAAGAAGCCACCTCATAGCTAAACACTACTACTAAGTGTGCTCCAATTGTTCCACATTAAGCGTAAATGCGCTGCTCTCATAAAGTAATTTATGAATTTGGAATTTGACAAATTCTAAAGATTGAGGTGGCACCTTATCCAGGAGAGGAAGCAGAGATTGGAGGAAGAGCTCATTTTGTGATGGAGCTGGAGCTGCAGTCTGCCGCAGGAGGGCCATCAGCTCCAGCTCCAAGCGCGATAGCTCCTGGGCGGAGGTGTCCTGGGTGGTGCGCTTCCTCGCTCTCTTCCTTTGTGGACCTGCAAACACCACAAGACAATGGCTTTAAAAATATAAAGTCATGAGTATGTAGGATCTGATAATCTATGAACAACTTTTAAATCCTTTTCTTTGTTAAATAAAATAACTAGATCCTATGTAAAAACAGTATTCGATTTGTATATTTCACTTTTTGATGCCCACATATTCAAAAGTATTTGTGAAATGTTTAATATAACGTTTATACATTCACAACAATAAAATTGATTTCCTACACACCTGTAGGTGCAGCAGCAGGGGAACGACCGGCAGCAGAGGAAGAACCAGCAGCAGAGGACGGTCCAGGAGCCGAGGACGGTCCAGGAGCCGAGGACGGTCCCGGAGCCGAGAACGGTCCAGAGGCCGAGGACGGTCCAGCACTCGGCTCTGTCTCTGAACTTGACTCCGTATCAGCGTCATCTGTTATTAAATAAATTACTTTCACTTCACAGCACGTGTACAATCATTTTAAGAACGTTAATACTCATATAAATAACCTTGCTATAAACAATAATGACAACAAAACAGTTTAGTGGGAAGCTGCATGACTTCTTTCCATACATTGTTTTAGCTACAGACCTACATCTGACATTAGTTTACAGCATATGTACATTTATTTTGCCAGTTGCTTATTAAGAACGTTAATACTCATAAATAACCTTGCTATAAACAATGACAACAAAACAGTTTAGTGGGCAGCTGCATGACTTCTTTCCATACATTGTTTTAGCTACACACCTACATCTGACATTAGTTTACAGCATATGTACATTTATTTTGCCAGTTGCTTATTAAGAACGTTAATACTCATAAATAACCTTGCTATAAACAATGACAACAAAACAGTTTAGTGGGCAGCTGCATGACTTCATTCAATACATTGTTTTAGCTACAGACCTCCTGCAACTGACACCTCCGCTGCTGCTGGTTCTTCCTCTTGGAGGTGGCTGTCCCCCCTCTCCTCCTCGGCCCTGTGTGCTGTCATGTTACCAGTAGATGGCCTCGGTGTTACGTAGGGCTCGAGGAAGGAGAGCGATGCCAAGTACCTCCACCTCTGCACTGTCCCTGCTGCTGCTGCACCACTGCGCCTCCTCTCTTTCTCCTTCCTGCACTCCCTCATGAACCTGTCCCTCAGGCTTTTCCACCTCTTTTTGATTTCTTTCTCTATATGAACAAATGGACTTGTGAGCGGGAACAGAAATCATAGCGACTGTACATTGTACGACTCCTGACCGGAGTTTACTAAACATGGAATACAGATATGAATTCTTTACATAACTTACCATCGTACCCGATCTCCTCGCTTATCCTCCTCCAAGCAAGGTCCTTTTTATTCCTGTCCCTGTATAGCGGGCTGGAAACAGCGTAAAGCTCTGGGCGAGAGCTAATCGCCACGATTAAGCTCTCCTCCATGTTCTCGAATATGATTTTGTTTCCCGCTTCCACCGGCTTCATCGTAGAGCGACCCTGTCTCCTGATTGGTTGAAGCCCGCGTCAAAGCTTCAAAAGCTCAGCTTTGCTCAGCTTCGGCGTCAAAGGGATTGTTGTGATACGCGAGCGATTCGCGCGTCAAAAGCTTCAAGTGAGCGCGTATTACGCGCGACCTTTGAAGCTTTTGACGCGCGCCAAGTGACGCCGGGCCCCTCGGCTTCACCTGACGCGCTTCACCATTCACTTTCAATGCAAACCTGACGCTTTTGACGCCGAAGTTAAGTCCGGTGTGAACGCCCCTTAAGACACGCCCCCGCCGCCTGTCAACTCCCGCACACATGTTTCGGACAAACACTGCCCAAATGAATCAAATACCACTTGTAACTTTAGACAAAAATAATATACCAGGAGCAAAATTTCACCATCAAACCATCAGGGATCATAGTGTAGACCAATTAAAACGTTGGCTTGAATGTCGTGGTCTGTAACTGGTAGAAAGTTTGAATTGATAAAAAGGTAATGGTAAGGATTATGCTAACATTATCTAGTCATTTAAATTGCAATGCTAGCACCTTCTTTGTTTATTTTGCTGTGATTAACTTTCATTTATCAAGTTTTTTTGCACTATCCACTCTGTAATTAGTTTGATCATTAGTTAGCTACTGTCAGCCGATATTATAATAGATCCATGGGGTCACAACGGGCTACAACACTACTGTCTCTGAGAGAAACTATCGGAGCTAGCCACACTCAATAAACGCAACAATCAATCAACATATTTAAATGTTAATGGGAGAATATATTATACATACATTTTTAACACACGTGCACGGAGGTTTTCAGAATTATCTGTTAAGGTTTTCATGACAAAAATACTTTTTTAATGCAACAAAAGTGATCGCTTTTTTGAAGTAGGTGAACTAGCCTCACTGTTACTCGCCTGCTACTTTCTTTGCAGTCATTAAATAAACCTTTCGGCATTAATAAAAGTGACTGAAGTTTATTTTGTGTGTTCAGTTGGTACATAGCCGTATAACAAGCGGACCCTGACGCGCTTTGTCTGCCCTTATTTTCCGATAGTCACGAAGTTGATAAAAAGTCACAAAGTTGAAAAAAAGGTGTGAGAATTGTATACATTCTGGATTAGGACAAACAATACTAATATGGATTTATGGGGGTAAATGGTATAAAGAGAAAGTTAGTGCTAACTACATTCAGAAGAGCTTAGACGGACCTGATACAGCGGCCCAGGTCCAGTCCCAGCTAAACGTAGCTAGGACTGGACCTGGAGGCTCCACAGTTGGTCCAGCTTTCTTTTTTAACATTTTCATGAGAGAAATTCTGCCGACCACAAGCACCCACCTCTTGCACTCGTCCTGGTCTGGTCCGATGGTGTGGTTTGACGAACGGGTTGAATGTTACTACTTTCATAGTCCTTTTCAGAGTATCTGAAATCGCTCCGACAAGCACCATAACTGCAGTGTTTTGTTGTCACCATGATTCAATGATTTAGCCCAAATAAATACACACGCGTATGTGGAGAACACAGTAGTACTCAACGAGTCGTACAATGTTTGTCCGAAACATGCGCGCATGCGCAGTCATCGGAGCGATTTTTAGCACATTTCGGAAACCGGACAGTGCCCTATTGGACACTCATTTATACCGTTTATCAGCAAAAAAATGGTTGCCCTAACCCTAACCCAAGGTGAGTTGTCCTTTAAGCTAAAGAGAGAGTGCTTTTCTAGCAAAATAATGAAAATAAACATTTAGAATGCAACAGTTATGTTGAACATAGGCTTAGCTTACTGAAAAAAATAATCTTCACTCACAAATAACAACTTAGACTCAGACACTTTCCTTTCCCACCTCTTAAAAAAAATACATCTGCTGGCAATAGCAGATGTATTTTGAACTTCCTAAGCCACAAGCTATATATCATTTCAAAGCTTATTTTCTCAGCTATATTTATATGTAAGTGTAAACGATATCAGACATTGCATTAAAAAGATATAACGCATAATATGGGCCCAAAATAAATCGTGTTTGTATAAGTTTTTTACCTTTTGTCTTCTGCTGCTCCAACAAATTAAGACTTTCCCCGTCCTTGCTTGTCTCTTTCTCTCCGTAAGTCTTCAGTGAAAACGAATATCCACTTGTATTTCCCAAAGTATAATCCATTCTTCAGAAATAATCCAAAAATGTGCATTTTTCTGTTGCAAAAAAAAACGCTCCGAAATAAGTTCAGTTCTCTTTTACATTTCACCAAGTTTGAGCTTTGTTTACCCCCACAACCATCATATCCACGTGTTCCTTGAGTGCTTAGCTTCAAAAAGAGAGGTTCCATGAAAAGATAGGAGCAGGTTCCAGTCCGCAGGACCCTTGTGAAAAAGACAAACCGCATCCATTTGCAGAGGGTCCGTTTTGCCTTGTTGTTGATTACAGGCTAGCGCTATGTGCTAGCACTGAATAATTGACGTGTCTAAGTAGCCAATAAACAGATGGGTGGGACTTGTAGGAACTCTTTTCATTTTCACAGTAAAAGCGTGCGTAAAGACGCTGTTAGTACTGCTGCCATAGACTGTATATATTAACGGACAGAGTCACGCCTATCTCCGCCGTTCATAGGAGTTGGCCATGAAAAGTGCTTTCATGGAGCAATCCAAGATGGTCGCGAGTGGTCCCGCCCACAAGAAAATTGTGGAAAAACGCATCTGCGCATGCGTCAGCCGGCACAACTCCATTCATTTGAATGAGAGACTTCAAAAATTCACCGCGAGTAAACTAGAGTGGACCAAAAAAACCCACCCCCCTCAGCATTGACACACATGTGGAACGGAGCTTTGGGCCAAGAGCCAACTTTTGGTCCATCCTGTAAAGACATTTTTGAGAGGTCTGCCAACGCTATATGTTAGCATTGTTTAATTCTTCTTCTGGGTCCACCCCCATTGGCCCGGGGTGGTATTCCAAGCATGTCAGCGCACGTCATTTTTATGGAAGACTATTGGCACTTTAATTCAATTGTCTATTCATTTGTCAAATGGCTATGCATTATGTTATTTTAGTATTTATTTTGTATTTGTATTTGTCAAAGTGTAATGTTATATCCAATTTTGACATTTAATGTTCTATTCCAAAAGTTCTAATGGCAATTCAATATGTAAAGTGTCGATACAATGTCTTTATATATTGCAAATTACAAGATTTTGAAATGAATAGCATATTGACATGGATATTTGGCCTCTTTATTCATTGTTCTTTTCATTCTTAACATGGCATTTAGTTTAAAGTTGTATTTGGCAAAATTGCATGTTATATCCTATTTTGACTTGTATTCCACATTTGAGTATGTTAAGTTTCATTTAATGTGTTGTGAAACAGCACCTCCCTCTGGATTGCATTGCATATTGCATTGCCACATGGTTTGAGTGCAACTTAATTCAATATGCTATGCAGTTCTTGACCCCTGGGAAGGCGGGCCCTGGTCGCTCTCGGCCAATCAGAGACGAGTCTATATCCTCCTAGCTAGATGCGCTGTGTTGTTGATTTTTGCTGGAAGTAAATGCTGTTATGACCATGGATGTATTATATTAACTGGATAGGGTATTACGAGCTTGTAGCTGAATAATCCATGTGCTCAGGGGATTCTCGCGGTACTGCAGACTGAACCAGACTAAATTCACGTGGGCTACCCAGAAATTTTCCCCATAGAACTCAATGCATATTAAAACAGCTCAACCTCAGCTGACAGAGAACCTTCAGCTTTAATAAAGATCGGATTTTGTGGGGATTTTAGTGTCCCTTGTCATCCTGAACTTTTTTTCTTCTTAAATCCTTCGGTTTTGTTTTAATCCACACTTTAGTGCCACAAACTCTGCTCCTCTGGCTCTCGCTCTAACTCCCGCTCTGATAAACTGCTCTGATTGGTCAGAGTGCGGCCGAGCCCCTCTGTGCACGTGCGTGAGACCCGGTGTGAGACCCACACACGCGTGTTTGGCGCAACGCATTATGGGAGATCATCCACTGCGCAGAACCGGGAGGACCAGACGATGCCCAAATACAGGCGAGTTTCCCATAGTTCTTTGCGAGTTTCAGGCAACTTCCGCTAATCTTTCAGCCCCCATGCCGTCACAAAGCGCCACTGAGCACAACCATTCATTTGAATAGGGCACCATCTTGGATCGCCGGGGCTTGGTTATGACGGATTGGAAGTAACAGATAACAGAAAAGGAGGTTCTACTTACATAAAACCTCCTTTGAGTAACTTGGAATCTTCATGAAGGGTGATCTGTTACTTCCAATCCGTCATAACAGCATTTACTTCCAGCAAAAATCAACAACACAGCGCATCTAGCTAGGAGGATATAGACGTTGAAGAAGATGACAAAGTCTGGGATCGCGTCTTAAATTCAGACAGAAGACATGTTTTATTGTCAATGGTAGAGACAGCACGATCAAAGCACACGATCACAGATACAAGAGAATGCAAGTGTATTATACAGAGCGGAGGCATGAAGACCTCCAATCAGCAGCTTCCACGGTGTGCTTGTAGCTTGGCCTTCAGATAGACAAAACAAGGGGAAAGTACTGGCTTCTGCACATTGATAGAATGATGAGTTTAACTTTAACAAAAGTTGCTTAAAAGTGTTATGAAATCTCACATTCCCCCCTCTGGTCATACATTCACGTGTGACCATCAGGATCGATAAACAGCAACATAACATCATAACTCAATACATCAAAAACTCAAACTCGGTACTTCACTCTGTACTTCAAAAAACTCAGAACTCGGAATACTTCAAAAACTCATAAAACTCATAAAACATGTTCAGATCTTTCATAAAACTTGTCAACA